CTTTCCCTGAGCCACCGCCTGCTCTCCCACAAACTGAATTTGGCAAGGCGCAAAACCCTAAGAAATTCGCTTAAATTGGGTCTTTAACTGGCGTCTGACTGGCGCACAATAACTTGGAGCCCCTACTGCTCTTATTTTGTAGTTTGTGGACCCTAAAAGGGATTTAAAGTGGTGTCTTCTTGTGCTCTACACTAAAATACGTGGGGTAGATTGATTATAGGGAAATCTTCACTGCAAATCTTAGTTCTCCCTTATTAAGAGCTAGATCTATCAAATTGCCACTACATATAATTCCCCTTATTATTAGCCCCCCCTTTTCCACCAAAGTATTCTTCTTTGCTCAAGCTTAGGGTATTTTTTAGTCACGCTCATCCCATCAAATTCACTTTAACATTGTTTGCTTTGGCGCAAATGCAATTAGTTGCCATTAAGTCGTAGCCAACTAGGCTGCTGCTCCACTTGTCGCTGATTTATGAGAAGCGCAGAGAGAGGCAGCCTGGTGCGAGCCAAGCTGATTAGAAGAGGGCACAATTTATGGTCACTTGCCCGTTGCGTTGCCCCGAGTGTCGCGTGGGCTGCAGCTTAGCGCTGAGTTGGCGCCGGCCCCGTTTAAATGACAGCCATAAATTAGTCGAGCCAGTGGACAAAGGCAAACGTTGCAACGCTTTCTTTCTGCATACATTAAATGTTCAATGGCTGCGCTTCCTGTTGCTGCTGCTGCTGCTGCTACTGCTGTTGGCGAATCCTTTGTCCAGCCAGCTGGAAAACAAGTCCTGGACAGCTGCCAAACGGCCGGGCTGCGGCACAAAAGTTCACTAACACTTTGTGTGCAGAGCCCCTTTGCTATTGTTAGCTGTGACCCGTTAACACTATGCCAGGCCATTACCTGCAGCCCAGTTTACGGCCAAGTGACCGACAGCCCAGGTGGACTGGGCTAGCACTCGAAGTGAGCTTACTTTGCCATGCACTTATGCAGGTTTATTGTCATACTTTGTATACTTTATTGACGTTTTGGTCTAGAACTGCCAAGAGTCTTAGGCTTGGCTGATTGTTTGCCTTACAAAAGTAGTTCAAATTTCGTAATACATCCGCGAATTTATAGCTTCTTATAATTATAATACAACTTAGGAACTGGAAAATATTTGTGAACTAAATATTTCTAACAGGGAAAGCTTCTAAGTGATGTTTGATAATTCTTTATAGGAACTTAACTTATTCAGCTCCTTAGTTGGGAAATGGGAATGCCTTATTACAAATACTTGTATGACCAGTCTAAAGTTTTTTCCAAGAATTGATAAATAACTGTTGGCTCGTTAATGAACTCTTAACGATATTTCTGACACTTTTTGACTAATGAGAGGATTCGCAACACGAATAAAAGTAATCAAGTGACGCTGACAACACGCATGTGTCCTTTTCTCTTTTATTTTGTTCCGCTGTCGCCCTTGACAGTGGACAGCAGCGAGCCAGTTGCTGACCTCCCTCTCTAGTGGACAAATCAATTTTGGTCGAGCAGCCTCTTCCTGCTCCAGTTTCGCGTTATCACGCAGAACTTTCGAATGACCTTGAACTAAATACACAATATGTCAAAGGTGGACGAAACAAACAACATATAACAGCTGACATTGTCAGGGCTATAAATGCAACGACGTCAGCAGCGTGGGTGGCTGATGGGTAAGGGGTGGTGGGTGAGACTTTATTTGCCAGAGGGTTGGAGCTACATTTGAGTCTGATAGCTATTTATAACATTGGGTGCACCCGTAATGTGAACTTGAAGCTCAGCAAAGTAACTCGAAGAGAGAGAGAGAGGGAGAGAGAGAGAGACAGAGAGAGACTACACGAAGCCAAAACAAAATTGCTATAATCAAAATTCATCAGGATTACCATAATTTACAATGCAAATTGAATGTAATGTAATAATGGATGAGCTTGTTAGGCAAGGGCAAACACAATAAAAGTCTTTGAAAAGTCGAGAAAGTAAATTCGAAAAGTTATGCAATTAAATAGGGAACATAATTCGTCTATATAAACAAAATATATAATAAAAGCAGTATTATTACATTATCTCTAGATTTTATAAATAAAAGAATACTATATTATTCAATCTCGTATAAAATCGTATTATTCTGTCTTCACATTCATTATAGAAGCCCAAAATGCTTCAGGAGCAGTGTGAACAATTTGTTTTCTTTAAGAAATTGGCGCTGTCATCCGATGCCAACAACTGTGTGTATGTGTGAGTGTGCGTGTGTGTGAGTTGAGCCGCAATTACGCTAATTGCAAGCGTGTGGTGTCAGAGGACTTGAGACTAAGGCAAGTGCGTGCTTTTCGTCTTATACATAGTATAAGTAGAAGAGTGCAGCAGTTGTTGTTGTTGTTGTTCTTGGGCATAACGATACGTGTCTATGGATGGCAAACAGGCAAAAAGGAATGAAAAAGGAAGTGCGCGCATGAGATAAGTCAGGTAATGGTAGATAAGCAAGAGAGAGGGCGACAGGGAGAGACAGAGAGAGAGGAGGGCAAGGAGCGTGAGAGCGTGCGTGCGTCAAGCTGCTGAAAAATAACAATAAAAGCTTCGACACTTGATAAAATATCTTAAATTTGATCAGCTGCAGTTAAGATGAACTACCAGCAGTGTGTGAACAGTCTGGCAACGCTGGCAAGAGAGAGAAAGTCAGAGCGGCCATAGATAACGCGCCTGCATGTGTGTGTGTGTCTAAGCGAAAGAGAGCGGAAGAGAAAGAGCGCGCCGAGAGTGAGCGCCGCAGCAATATTTGCAAATTTTTCGTTTTTGGTTTTTAATTAACATTGAAAGGAAAAACAGCGCGAAGCAGTTGAGCTCAAAAGCAAATGCATAAAATACCTGAATGTTTGTTGTTGTTTTTTGTAGTAATACTAGCACTTGTTGTTGGTGTTGTTGTAGTTGTTTACAGTTATGCAGTTATATTTTGTTCACTTCTCTTTGAGTGACAAAAGTTTTTTGTTGAAGCTTTTGCTGTTTGGCGTTTTTGTTATATTTTTAAACACACAGAAAACAACACAGAACACTTGGCTCTCATATACATATAAGTGTATATATATAAATTTATGAGAGTATGTATATAATTATGCCAGATTTATAGCTCAAATTTAGTTGCTATTTTTAGTTAGACTTTTTAGCTTTTGCCTTTTGCCGTTTTCATTTAACAATTGACAAAACGTTCGACCTGCTCACAGCGTGTTGCAAGTGCGGCTGCAGCTCGTGCAACTCTAACTGTAAAATCAAAGCAGGAGAGAGCGTCAGTGTATTAGCGACAGCGAGCGGTGGGGGGCGAGAGAGAGAGAGAGCGAGAGCGCGCTGTCAGCGTCCACGACCAGCGACTGACTCGAACTGTGGCCAAGGCGCCTGGCCAACTAAAACTGTCTGCCTTGGCTGGCTGGCTGCCCCATTCAGAAAAATAAAAAATAATATAGACCCGCTGCCGCACCGCCACCACCGCGCCAAGCAAAGGCAACGGCAGCAGCGCAGCAGGGTTGAAAATGCGCATGTCAGCAAAATGCGTGAGCATAACAACATATACAGGGTGTCTTATTTAGTGCTTGAACATAATCCACATACAGACTGATTCTTTGGGTTTGAGCATAAGAAATATATTTCAATCCCATTAATTAAGTAATTACAGGGTATCAATTTGAGTTTTGTTTGTATGCCATAATCAAAACGTGCTTCTACAAGAGAATACATTGTACCATACAGGGTGGTTTATTATCCTGACCGCATTAAACACCAAAGTGGATCTTTTTATTGGACTTTGGTTTTATTTCACAGACATAAACTTCTTATTGAAACTTATCATAACTAATATTTAATTAGCCAAACAGTGCGCCACCTGCGCCGCCCAGCACGCCAGCACCACCAAATCCGCCCACGACCTTTTTGTCGTAGCGTGCGCGAAAGCCGCCGCCGCCGAAGCCACCACCACCAAAGCCGCCATGTCCGAAGCCACCTTTGAAGCCGCCGCCGCCGAAGGCACGTCCTCTCACACGATAGGTCTCGCGATAGCTGCCGAAACCACCGCCGAAGCCAGCTGCACCACCGCCCAACAAGCCACCACCTAGGGCCAGCGCCTGTGGTTGTTGCTGTATAACGGGCACTTGTTGCACCACCGGCACCTGTTGCACCACCGGTACTTGCTGCACCACTGGCACCGCATTGATGCCACCCCAGCCGTAAGCCTGCAGCACCACAGCTGCACCACAAATCAGCAGCAATTGAAGAAAACCACTCATCTTGGATGTCGCGTTGATTACGTTCTGTTACGCCGGCGCAGACGTCGCAACGTATTTATGCGACGTTCGTGTGGTGCGTCATGCAGCACCACTGACAAAAAATCCCATCATCTTAGCTATGTTTGCATACGCATTAACCAAGCATTGGACGGGTTTTCACTTACGCGTCGCCATGCACGTGGCTCGCAACCAAAACTGACCTTCACTCAGTTGGGCTCGATGTGGTTGAAGTGGTTGATGTGTGAAGTGCACTGAGAGAAATAATCATGAGATAAATGTTGAGTGACTCCTGACGGACAAATTGTTGAACAAACTGATTGATCCACCTGGGTGATTGAAGGAATGATCGATGGATTGATCAACTGATTGACTGCTTCTTCTTCTTCTTCTTCTGCATATTGCCAACTTTCTCTTATTCTTTGTAAACCTTCTATTCCTTTTCTCGTTGTTTTTCTAGAGCAAACTCTATCCTTTTCGGCTTCAAGGTCTTCTTAGCTCCATCTTCTTATTTAACTTATTTCTTTGTTTCTCTTTCGTCTTGTCCTTTTGATTCCTCTATCGTCCGCTTTTTCATCTCGTTTTTCTGCTTCTCATTCTGCACTTCACTTCCTCGTTTGCTTCTTCTTCTCATTCAGCTCTTTTTTTTATCATCTATGTACTGCTACCATGCACAATTTTCTCTCAGTGTACACTAAGCAGCTGCTTATGAGCATACTTCGAGTTAGATCTAAATGAAGTTAGTTTTCAGTGCTTGGGGAATTTCGGCATCCAGGTATTTGTGAATTGCTTAAGCAAATAGGCCAGCCTCTGCGCTCTGGGATGCGAACAGACGTGGCCCACTAATTAATTTGCATAAATAACGAGGCTTGCGATGCTACTCCAATCAGTTGGGGTTTCAAAGATGCTGCGCGGAACATTTTATTCGCTGATCTTCGCACTTGCCGTTGCCCAGCTGGCGGCCACGCCCATTGTGCACGAAGGCAATGAACTTGTGCGCAAGACGCGACACATTGGAGGCGGTTTTATAGGCGGTGGCATAGTGGCTGGAGGCGCTGCTGGTGGTGCCGTTGGTGGTTACCTCGCACCACCTGTCATACAAACTGTGCCCGTGATACAAACTGTGCCGATTATTACGACCGTGCCGGTTGTGTCCACCATATCCACGGTGCCCAGCTATGGTGGCTTTGGAGGTGGTTACGGTGGTGGCTATGGAGGTGGCTTTGGAGGAGGTTATGGCGGTGGTTATGGCAGTGGCTTTGGTCGAAGTCTCGGCGGTGGCAGCTTTCTTGGCGGTGGCATTGGCTTTGCCAAGTTCAAAGGCATTGGCTTTGGCGGTTTCTTGGGCTGAAAGTCAGGAGTCAATGTGGATATAGAAAGAAATGTATATATATAAATTAAAAGCAAACAAAATCTTATGAATTCCAATAAAATCCAGTTAAAGTGTGATATATATCATGTGCATACGAAAACAATCATATACAGATCTAGATCTCTGTACATATGCCCACATCTTGGAGTTCTCATTACTCTGATGATGCTGCAGTTTCGTTGTAGCTCCGTTGTTTTGTTGCTGCTGTTGTTGCTATTCCAGTTTCATTTTACGCTTTCAGCTTGGCTTTGTTTGCTTAGCTAAATAAAAATACACAAATAACGCAACAACAACAAACATCTTATGAGGCCATTCGAAGAAAAAAACACATCGACTCTATTATGTGCAGTCAGCCAAGTGCCTCTTGGCTGAGCGTTAAATCAGATCGGCAGCTGTGTTTAAGAGAAGGAGTAAGAGAGAAGGAGCGAGAGAGAGAGGGCAAGAGGGAGAGAGAGAGGGAGAGCTCAAGTACAGTGGAGGTTGGAGAGAGAGCGTAAGAGTGCGATCATTGAATCTCAAGTACTATGGACACATATATCAAGTTTCCTTAGGAAATATGAATTGTGAGCGACAAATTGTTAAACAGGAGAATATTTCATCCGAATTGAATGAAGTATGCTACAGTAGTGAATATGGCTAAATTTATCATAACTAACCATAAGCAGAGCTCTTAACATAAATTCGGAGTATATTTCAAGCAGAAATATCACAAACTCTCCATAAATTTTATTCTTTTATCAAATCATATTATACTTTACTCAAAACATTATCATCAATTCATGAAATGCCACGCATAAACCACACAAAAATCATTAAATATTTGCTATAATTATTACAAATTGATAATCAGCCGCACATAAATCACATTCTTCACAGTTGGCCATGCAAAAGGTCGTTTACTGTAGCGCATATCTGGACACCGTATATCAAAGTAATACATCAAGTAACCTAAGCTGTTGTTCACTATAAAGCTTCCGCATCTGTCAGCATGAACTGAAGATTGGCTTCATTTCGAATTCAACTGGAAGTAAACAACTTAAAAGCCAAACAGAACCCTCATCTAGTGGCTTTTAAGTGTAATTACTCGCTGCTTTTTAGGTGGTGCGGCATAAAAATGATAGAAAAAAAACCAAAGAATAAAAAACCTTTCAATGACAGTCAAGAAATGTTATTGAACCTCTGCATTGAGTTAATTCTTCTAATATTCGACTATAAATTCAAGCGCCACTCGATGCTGACTTTTAGTAGTTCACAAAATTCGAAATGGAATACCTGAAGATTGGCCCGCTGCTGCTGCTGGGCATTTGCGTGGTGCTGTGTGGTGCAGTGGAGCAGCAAGAAGTGCTGTCTGTGGTTCAGGAACAGGAGCCACAGGCACCACAGGAGTCGCAGGCGGCGTCGGAGTCACAGACGGAACCGGAGTCAGAAGTGGTGCAGGAAACACTGGTGGTGCAGGAACCACAGACGGAGCTGTTAACATCTGGCGATAATTCTCAAGCGGATGTGATTGCAAATGCCACAACGGATGCTGACGACACTGAGGGCGGTGCTCGCAAAGTACGTCAATACTTTGGCCCACCACCGCCGCCCTTCTACGGCGGACTACCGCCACCTTACTATGGAGGAGGTGGATTTGGTGGCTTTGGCGGTGGTTACGGTGGCTTCGGCGGCGGCTACGGCTTCCAGCGCACTCGTGTGGTTACGCGCACTCGCTATCGCGGTCGCTACGGTGGTTTCGGTGGTGGCTTCGGAGGCGTCGGCTTCTACGGCTAAAGTTTGCTCTTTTATTTGGCATTTAATATGTCGATAGATATATATTTGATATTTGTGATATTCCATTGTGTGCGGCACAGCGATTGGCGTTGCCTCAATAAATATGTGTGATTTTTTAATATTTGCTTTTCGGCAAGTGATGTGCGTTTTGATACCCTGTTTATTATTAATAGTAGGCAAAGGGAGTTTCATGCTGGCTCTCAAATGGCGATGAGAGAGGATGATTTTAGCAAATAAAGATATATAATATATGAGAATTCTATAGCTATGATCAGTCATAATACGTATAATTCTGATATAATTTTTTAATTCTATATAATTCTTGATATTTTTTATTTTTTGCGCAAAGAAATAAAATAAATAAATTTTATTTGAATAGTATCTAGATTTAGCATACATTAAGTGGCTCAATAATATTCGTGGATTTACTGAGATCGATCAATATATTATACCTAGCGATATATATCTAAAATAATTATCGAAATCCGCTGTTTGTTGTGTGAAAAAAACTTTTTAAGTAATCGATAGTTGCTCCCAGGGTATCTGCCAGTCAGTCCGTCTCGCTCTCTATACAACCACTCACTCGTTATGTTTGGCCTGCCAGTTATGATGGTTCGCGATTTTATGATGAGAAAGTGGCCAAGAGCCCTTTGGACTGAGGCGCGCCTATATAAATTTGCCAACGACTTGGGCTCAGTTTTGATTTGAGCTTAAAATGTTGCGATTGATTGGCCCAATGCTGTGGCTGTGGCTGTTGCTGGTCGGCGTCTGCTGCTTAGATGAGCTGGAGTACGATGCACAGGTGGCACCACCAACCACTGAGGGTAGGCATCAATGGAAACCTCTCTCGATTCTCAACCCTCCCTAAAGCTTATTCTCAACGCTCTTTCTCAGCCCCTCAATCACCGCTGAATCTGTGGCGCGGCTTTGTGGGTCAGCTGCATCAAGTCATTCGCAGTTGGCGCACCACCAAGGCACCGCGCGTGCAATTGCGCAGCACCACACCCGACGCTGATGTGGACTACGACGCTCAGCCCGAGCTGCAATATTATGGAGCATTAAATCCGATTTATTTAACGCAAAATTTTTAGTTTTTTCATTTTGCCATTTTTGTTTACTTATTACAACTAGAATTGGTTACAAAATTTTTAATAATAAAAACTTATTTTTAAGCCTAGCTATTAGAAGCCTTTGCTGAAGAGTCCCTTGAAGCTGCCAAGGCCGCCGCCGAAGCCATGTCCCAGCCCACCGCCAAAGCCGTGACCGCCGAAACCACCGCCAAAGCCGTGACCCAAGCCACCCAGGCCGCCGAAGCCACCGAACTTGCCACCAAGGCCTCCGAGGCCGCCGAAACCACCGCCGAAGCCACCTAGTCCCAGGCCACGTGCCACACGCTCGCTCTCCGGCAGCTCCGATCGCTCCACCTGCAGGTCTCCATCCACATCCAGCAGATTGAGTGGCTCCACTTCCACCACCACAGGCGCCGCCCAGCAACTGGCGATCAGGCAAAGGCAAAGGCAAAGGCTCAGCGCGATAAGATTCATGTTGATTGGGCTGTTGGCTGATTTGTACTTGATCTGCAAGTGGCTGAGATTCATGCTTATATATGCACAGCATTACTTCTGGCTGATCTATTGGGCGCTGCGGCAGGGGCGTGGCTCGTGCGTTTAGCTGCTAATTGCGTCTGTCCACATTGCGACTTTGTGCTTGCTTTTCATATCCAAATGTACTTTCATTCATTCATTCAGATTTTTGAGAGTCTGCATGCTGAGCGAACATTATCTGTGTGTGTGCGCGTGTGTGTGTACACTGAGAAAAAATCTACGGTGTATTTATAATATATAAAATTGATATATATTTATAGAATTTAACTTCTGATTAAAATACAAAAAACTTCTTAATGAAAGAAAACGTCTATTGAATTTTAAAATTTATTATGATTTTTTTTTTTAAAATTTTAAAAATAAAATGTTTAAAGGCAGAATTTTATTTTTGATATAATAAAATTTGTAGTAGAATAGAAGAATATACAATAATTATAATTTAATAATGATTTTTTAATAATTCATTATATTAAAATTTTATAAAAAAAATTATAAAACACAAAATCTTACAAAAAAAAAATTAAATAGAAAAAAATATAATATTATAAATAATTTTTTATGAACAGATAAATTTTTGCTTAACATTTTTGTTATATAATTTTCATTTTTTAATACAATAAATTCTTAAAAATTAAAATTTGGAGATAGATATAAAAAAGAGCATCTCTGAATCGTTATACTCGCAGAGGCTGGTGCTAAAATTTGATTGGGCTGACTTAGCTTCTGGCTGTGACACTGGCTCTTGTTGTCGCTCTTTCTCTATGTCTGGCTCAGCATAGTTTGCTTAGGTCTTTAGCTGGTTGTGTGGCGTTTGGGGCTCGCTTACATCATGTTTGCATATGTTTTTACCGCCTGCGCATAGGCGGGATTTGGTCTTGAAACGTAATCCAATTGACCTTAGCAACAGTTTATCTATTTGATCAGTCACCGATTTTGTAATCGAAGTTGAATGATAAGAAGTGTTGATAAGAGGTAGAGAGCTAGAGAGAGAGATAGACAGAGATAGAGAGAGAGGCTGTTAGCCCGGATTGATCTTTCTATGTCTTGAGCTATCTAATAAAATTTCCACTTTTGCCTGGTGCTATAAATTGAAAATTAATCAGCTTTCTTTTAACACTCTTATAAATTTATGTAGATATATATATATATTTTTTTCAGTTTTAACATAGTTTCTGGCAAATAATTTATTACGCTAATTGGCAGTTGAGTTGCTTAACATCTCGTTTGACGCAGCATCAGACGCCTCTTGCGATGCCGGCGCACGAATTTCTTGTAGTTGTTCCTCTTCTTCTTGCTGCCGCTGCTGCTGCTGCTGCTGCTGTTGTTGTTATTACTGTTTCTGTTGTGGGATCTGCTGCTGCTCCACCAGCTGCGCCGATGCTGCTCCAGCTGCGGCAATTGCATCGGCTGACTGATGCGCGGCTTGCGAACTTGATCCTGAACGAAGGCCCGAGACCAGGCAACGGGATCCAAGCTGGCATCGTAGCCCGCATCGTTCCGATGCCACCAGGGCAGGGCCACGCCCAGTTGCAGCAGCACTAGCATTAGCATCAGCAGCAGACAGCTGCCAACAGTCGTCGCCGATGTGTTGAGCATTCGGAATGAGTGTGTGTCCTACTTGCCTGGCGTTTAATGAGAAACTGTTGCATGGCAAGCGGAACGAGTTGCGTCTTATATGAGCCGCTGCAACGCAATCCGCTCTAGACTCGACTCTCCTAGGCCAATCGAGTTGAGTCTTCTGCAAATAGACCTTTTGCATGCTGCACATGGCTTTCGAGAGCATTTACAGATTAACTGTGTCATACCTGCTTCACACACACACACACACTCCTGCACCACTCACCTGTATAAACTCTCCGTTAGGTAAAATTGTAGCGCAGGTCAGAAATGTTTTTGCTCTCAGTCTACAAATCTCTTTCAAATCGCTGTCAAATCTATTTTCAAAATCTCCTGCAATAACAACAACAAGCTGTTATAAATCATAACACTAGAGGACAAAAATCTGTTTTAGTGCTCAATTACAAGTCGATTTAGGTTTGCGCACAAAAGAACAGCTGGAAACTCGTCTGCAAGGGTGAAAAATGAGCGAAAATTGCATTGAATGAATTTCTTTTTTTAAGGGACTGTAACAATCGAAAGTGGGTCACATGAGGGTAGATGGGTTGAATGGAAGCGCATGTGTCAGGTAGAGGGACGGGACTGTGCATATATAGTCCATATAGGCTATGGAGTGCATAGAGCTCACAGAGTCTGAAGAGTCGACGAAAGAAAGAGACTCGATGAAGTCTATTAAGCTTATAAATCTAGATAGAAAGGAAGGTCTTCATATAAACGCCTTAAAAGAAACATGACCTCTGAATATTATACTAGAAAAGAATATATAAATCGATAAATATCGATAAATATCATTTTGATAACTTGCAAGTTTTTTTCAACCTGTTTTCATTCTATCATAGTGTTGTTTAGAGTATCTGTGACTCCCACAGTTCTATTTGGCAGAGTCCTTATATGTCGACTCTTACTCAAAACCCTTTCCAAAGGCACTTTCATTCATTCAGACTCCTGCTTACCATTAAGCAAATGCCACAATAAACCACAGCAGCAGGTAGCATAACTCAGTCACATTCTACTCTACTCTCATGTCGATTCGCAATGGTCTTGTTGCGTTTTGTTTGTGAATACCCTCAGCCCATTGAAACTGTTTAGGCAGGGTATATGGAATGGTTTATAGCTGCTAATGTTTCCATGTAAAACAACATGTGCCATTGTCTCTAGCGGAACAATGGGACCCTACAAAATTCACTTTCTAACGAGCCAATTGCCAAGTGACTAACAAATTAGAGCTCTCTATCTCTTTCTCTGTATGCGTGTGTGTGTGTGTACCTGTATGGAATATCTTGGTCAACACTTCAGTTTCATCTTGGACTTGCTTTTCGCCTTGCACTTGACACTCAACTCAACTCAAGTAGAGTTAACCCAACTCGACTCGCCTCGGTCCGGCTGTCAGCACAATTAGCGACTTTTTGCCTTTTGGGACAGTTGTGAAATATGCGCGAGCCTCGAAACTAGTTAACGGCCACGGCAACAACTCAACTAAGCCTAGTCCCAGTTAAGAGCAACTACTCCAATGAGTCCCAATTAACTGGCAGCCACTTCGAGCAGAGCTTAAGCCGCCAAGTCCCCGGTTAATCCACTTTCCAGCTGTCCAGCTGGCTGCAACGCCAGTGGCATAAAAGCAGCAACTGTTGCCCGCTGCACTGGCAGTAAACGGAAAAAGTTCTAGGCACGATGAGCTGTAAGATTTTGCTGTGGCTTTGCTTGAGTCTCTGCCTGATTCTGGGCAGCTTTGCGGCCCAGCAGAGACGCGTGGCCGTCTTGCCGAATCATTTTGTGGGCAAGGGCGCGTACACGCTGGCCGCCAAGCGACACCAACCCGTGCAGCAGCAGCATCAGCCGCAGCAGCAGCATAAATATCGACAGCAGCAACAGCAGCAGCTGCAGCAGCAGCAACAGTTGCAGCTGCGCCGGCAACTCTTTCAATGGGCAACAATGCATAAGAAATTCCATTAAATGTTCGCACTTGATATATTTTAGCTAAATAAATTAAATAAATAATTGAGAGAATTTGTTGTAAGTTTTAAGTGAGTTTACATTAAAAGTGCATGGCCATGGCATCGCCGCCAAGGAAGCCCTGCATGGATGCCAGGCCGAGCGGCGCGGCTGGCTGGCCGTAGATGCCAGCGTGAGCTGGGGCTAGACCAGGGGCGCTGGCCATGCCAAGGATGTTGTCCAGACCGAAGCCAGGCATAGCCTGCGGACTGCCATAGAGTGGATTGCCGTACATGAAGCCAGCGTTGGGAAAGCCGCCAAGTCCGGCGCCAGGTGCAGCTCCAAGACCCGCTCCAGGCATAGGTGCTCCCAGACCAGCGCCAAATCCTAATCCAGGTGCAGCTCCCATGCCAGCACCGATGCCCGCTCCATATCCAGCTCCAGGCAGGATGCCACCTCCGAGACTCAGTCCAGCGCCGGGCAGACCCATGCCCAGGCCCATGCTGGCATCGCCGGGATAGCCGTTGGCAATGCCAGCCTGCAGGCCGAAGGGCGACATCAAGCCCGGGTAGTTGGGATAGCGTGCCAGCTGCATGTTGCCCACCATGCCCAGAGCCATCTGATTCACGGGCACTGCGCCGCCGATGCTCATCGAGACTGGCGTCATGTTTCCTGTGCCCGCCGTCGCCATCATCTTGACATCCGCCTCGCCCGCTGGCGTCATCATCTTCATATTCCGCTGCTCACGTGCCTCCTCCTTCACTGGCGCGGCCTGGCAGTTGCCCAGCAGCAGCAGCACCACCGCCACCACCAGCATCAATAGGGATCTCTGTGCGGCAACAGACTTCATTTTGCTCGACTTCGACTTGCGTTCGACAACTGTTTGCTTCCGGCACGCCAAAGTCGCTTTTTATGCTGAGGGGGCGCAAAAAAAAAAAACTTTCTATTGCAGTTTTCGGTTTTCTATTTGGCTCATAAAATGGCTCAAAGTAAGCGTTATTTTACGCTTTTATGACAGTAGCAAAATATATACATATATCTTTCTGTATATTACTCAAGTTCCGCAGAGAGAAGCTGAGGCTGAGGCTGTGGCTGCGTCTGCTTCTGCGTTTTGTAATCTCTTTATAAACAATTCGCACATTTTGGCTAATGGCGAACGCAAATAAGGTGCTAAATGTCTCAGTCGATGGCATAAAATTATTACGAAGCAAAGTGAAATGCGCCGTGGCCTCAGTTGAAAGCTTTGTGAACGAAAGACTTAGGCAACGAACTCGACTTTTCTCTGCCCATTTCTTGGCCGTGCCTGAAAGTATGCCGGGATTGGCTGGCCATGTTTCTGCTGTCTGTGATTCATAGGTTTATGTTTCCATGCAAAATGTTTATGACTAATTTATGGTCTAAAATTGAATCAACCAAATCAAGCGATTTCATGGCTGACCACGAATATCTTTGGCAGAACATAAAGATCTGAATCTTTAACTAGATTTTTATTTGGCAAACATAATTGGAGCGCGTTGTCTGTGAGATATATGCAAATGTTATCGAATTTTAATTGCATTTTGAGGCCGATATAGTTTAAGTCGTTTAAGAAGGTTGAAGTCGTTTATAAGCATAATTGTAAATTTATATATTAGATCTTTAATATCTCTGCCTATCCGGGCCATTGTGGTCTCTAAAAGCCAATGTCTTTGAGTAGGTTGCTCCAGCTGGCTAACCATACATGAATAGAGCATCGAGTAGAGTTAATTTGAATGTTGCATCTATACAATAATGTAGATAATGTAGAAACAGTCGAACCTCTTGCTATAGAGACCTTCAAAGGAAGTAGGATCTAAGTTTACTTTTAACCTATGATGTAGTCGAGTTCTGTTTATCAATTCCCTTTTTTTTTTTTTTTTTTTTTTTTTTTTTTTTTATATAGATATTATCACAGCTTGACGGTTCTCCTCAGTTGTTTCGTATTTCAAAAAAGTGCCTATAAAGGCTGTGCATTGATCATCGATCTGTCATCAGCCACTGACTCATCATTCAGTAATCCCTTGGCTATTACTCAAAACAAATACTCGACATTCAATTATTCCTAGAACTGAATGCAGATCCCAATGACACATTCAACACATTGCATGGGTCAATCGGTTTGTAATCGGATTAGCTTTATCATTTTCATGAGCAGCTACAGTAGCTGAATACGTAATTTGATATCTAGCTATGGAAAAGCAATCCCAATCATAAGTCAAAATTCAAATGAATCTCAGTTTATGTTTCTTAATTTCTTTATTTTCATCTAGTACACATAATAATAAATAAATAATTGTAGTAATTTTAACACCTGTGCGTATATCCTAATGACTATTACTTGCATCCCGTTTGCGTTCCTCAAGTCTTAGAGTAGTCTTTCCTTCGAACTATCTGCCAAAGTAGTCCACCTCGTGGTCTAGATTCCCACGATTCTTGCGAGCATAGGAATCGTAGTCGTAGCTGGAACGACGATGCGAGCCCAGGGAGCTCGGATCGTTATGGTAGCTGTAGACCACGCGGCTCGGATAGCAGATATAATAGTCGCCGTGATAGCTCGCACGTTTCTCTCTCACGGGCTGTCCGCTGAGATCGTAGGCAGAGTGGATGGCCTGGTAGGGATTGCTGTCGGGTGCTGCTTGCATGAGGCTGACTGTAGCCAGCAAAAGGGCCAGGATCAGTGTGAGTTTCATTTTGTATAGCTCCTGATTTTACTGCTGCTGCTGTTGCTATTGGGTGTGCTTGGGTGTGCTCCAGATGAAGTTCCTTTTGCTTCTGTTTGGCTGCTGTCGGCCCTCAACTCATTTTATACGAGCAATCGCTAATTTTTGCGACAGACCGTCAGACGGAGACGCCTCATTCGGTTTGATTAGCACCTCAATAACATTTCCGTCCAACTTTAAAGGGTGACGTTCAAATCACGTCGGAAACTGAGCTCAGCTGGAAGTTGATCCATCAGTGTGGTATTTATTAACGTCCAATTTGCGTCTTGATTGTTTTTATGACTGTTGCGGTAGGCACTGTGAATCAAATATATTTCACCAGTATGAGTGCCTCCTAGATAACTCTTTAGCAGACCCTAGTTTGATTGAAAATGGGTAAATTGGTAAGCAAATAGAAAGAAACCTGTTAGACTACATAAAGCATATAATTTCTTGCGCGTTGAGTTGATCTTGTTAAGGCCATTTTTCCAACAGTCCCTTCCTATATATCCCATTTGACCTAATTGTCTATAAAGACTATCCGCCTTTCGATTCATTCATCAATGTAGATGTATTTGCATATCTGTTCGTCTTCCATTCAAAAATCCGTCTGTCTATCTCTCTGTTCGTTACTTGGAGTCCAGAGTATCTCCAAGTCGTGCACTCCCACCTAGAGCATGTTTACAGCAAGTGATATATTGTTGAGCCCCATTCAGTGGCCAGTTCTAAGTTTAGCTTATGTTTATTTGCGTTTTCTGTAATTCTTGTTAAATAAAAAATAAATAGATGCTAATTAGCTATTTATCATAAATCACATTTCGTCATAGCCAAGTTTATTTCCGTGTAATTTTCATATTACAACAAACTGCAAAATATTTGACGACACTTTGTGAAAAGAGGAGGCGGTGTTGGGCTAGGCTTGGCATGTCATGGGAGTTTGGCGACATATTTGTTATAGATATTTACGGATTATTAACTTAAGATATTAAACAAATATTTTTCCAAAAATATGTGTTATCAGGTTTCATTCAAAATTTGGATGTGTATATTAATAATAAGGCGATAACATACTCTGTCCAAAGGAAAAATAACTTGATAATACGACTTAAGTTCAAGTTCAATAAACCAGATGTTCAGGGATTTGCTCTGCATACAACTTGTGACACTCATAAATATATGTTTATCTTGATTTACTATATCAGCTATAATAGCCTATGTAATCATATGAATTTTAAAGGCAGTATTTAATTTGAATTAACTAAAAAATAAAAATTGATGGAAAATAATTTTTATTATATATTTTTATTTTTTAATAGATTTATTTTATATCAAATAAATGTTTTTGAGCTTAACTTTTAATTTTTTAAATTACATTTATTAATATATTTTAAATAAAAATAAAAAGCAAAGAAAAAAAATTCAAGAAAATAAATAAATATTATTGACAATAATAATTAGCTCTTTTATTTTGTGTCTTCCATATTTATTTTTTTTTTTTGGTTTTTATATACATTTTGAGTATATATTAAATTAATTCATTTGCATAAATTAGTTATCCATTTATTTTTTATATTTGTCAATTACTATCAAATTATTTGATTTATTTAATTAATTAATTTCAACCGCAAAAGCATTTTAACTTTACCTTAATCAAAAACAATTGTTCATGACTAATTTATAAATCATTTATCACCTCTTCTTTTTCGGCCATAAATTTCTTGACGTCAATTTTAATTCTCAATTTAAAAAAATGTCTAATGCATTGTCTAGTCGAAATTTGAAAAAAAAAAAACAACAAATATACAGTTTTTTATTTCATATTTAAGTATTTTATATATACTCATTAATGTCATATTTCGTAATTATTGAGCGGAATATTTTGAGCTATTTTTCTCTCATCATTTTATTTTGTTTGTTTTTCTTCTTTTTGTGCTAAAAATAAATTCTGCATATTTGCTTGATATTTTGTTGTCTTTGATTAATAGTATTATTCTTAATGCCAAGATTGTTGACTCTGTTGTTTATTTGTTGTTGTTTGTTTGCTAAAAAACCGGCTTGCAGCAGGTGTCAACAGCTGAGCTACATACGTATATACTATAGCAACAGTTTATTGGGCGAATGCGTAGAAACCGTGCCCCCAAAATCTTCCAGCTGTTTTCTCAGTGTTATGGATATATTTGTTTTAATATAAGCATTATTATAAAGTGAAGAGTGTAAAGAAATCGAGTAGACACACGACTGCTGCAGAGTTTATAGGTATTCAGGAAAGAAAAGATTAGATTGCTTAGATAAACTCTTCCAAAATGTTATTCAAATAACTAAACTTTTATTTATTATTTACTTTTTGGCCCAGAAGCGAGTATTACCCAGTTTTTTATTAAGTTTCATTTCGTTGCGATTTACATCAAAAGTCAATTATGTTTATTTGCCAAAGCTGGAGCTGGCCGAGGCCGAGGCCGATGCTGAGGCCGATCCAAAGCCGCCGCCTGGATAGCCGCCACCGAAGCCACCTGGATAGCCACCGCCGTAGCCGCCGTAACCGCCCGGGAAGCCACCGAAACCGCCGCCGCCAAAGCGTCGGAAGCCACCGCCGAAGCCACGACCACCGAAACCACCGCCGAAGCCACGACCTCCGAAGCCGCCGAAACCACCGCCGCAGCAGAAGCCGCGAGCCTCACGTGCGCCATCCGCATCATTCACCGGCTGAGCATCCACATCCTCAAGTCTTAGCTGCTGTGGCTGCTCCTCCTTCTGCTCCACCTCCTCCAGCACCAGTGGCTGAGCCCAAGTCAGGCTCAAGGCCAGGCAATAGACGAGCGCCAGCACCACAAATTGTTTCATGTTTAGTTTTGCAATTGCTTCTATTTGGGTTCTAGCGATTGCCGAGATCTTTTATAGTCGTCGACAATATTTGAACGGGGATGCCCCAAAAGAGAATAACTATGCGAATCTGATTGGCTCATCCTGCCGAGCGCATCATTAGTTTCAAGCATCTATCATTATTATTTTTGTTTTCAAATTGTTTTTCGTTTTCGATGATTTCACCAGAACTTGTAAATGGAATTCCCAGAGCCCCAAGGCACTCGTTTCGTATGCCCCCGCATTGGGAGCTTACTTTTGGATCCCATTCATTAGTTTGGCCTAGAGCCAAAGACCTACATTGTTGCAAAGTCAGAACTTCTCACAGAATTGGCATAAACAATAAATCTCTTCAGTTGGGGACTCACTGAGAGAACACCCTGTAAATTGGGAAATTAGTTGAGGTAGTTTAACTTGCTTAGCTGGGGTACATTGCTACTCTTAAGGAATATAAATTGTACTCTCATAGGCATTCATTCTCCTGTACACCCTGTATGTATAGTAAGCATAAGAGGTAGTTGCAGCTATGACAAGCTCTAGGGCCAATCATAATTAAGTTCATCTCTAGTTATCTAACATCTGTCTATGTCTTCATATCTCAAATGGAATTTCACAATATTTTACAGGGTATTTTGTTGTACTACACTTGATCTTCTTTTGATTATTATTGCTTTCGCCCGTCAACAATTTAAGCACCGTGAGCGACAATCGAAAAAATAATTAAAAACTTGTTAAGAACTCTGATCACTGACCTTTCAATTTGATTGCAGAACTGCGCAGTTAAGAGTTTGTTCGACGGCTACTTATTTCAATACTTTTTTCATTCTCTAATCGTTTTCTTTTTCTGGCATTAAAAACCCGTTTTTGTTTATAGATACATTTTTATTTAGAGTGCTTAATTTGTTTTCGTTTTCTTTTTACCTAAAACAAGTGTCGCGCGGCGTCATGAAATTCTCTAATTAGCTTTTATTATACAATTTTTCTAGATATTCTAAACAATTTAGATAGAATTTTAAATTGAGAGAATTTTTATTTTTTAATTTTGGTAACAAAGTCTTAAATAGAAAAACAAAATTATATAGATATAAATATTCATATATATTTTTTGCATTTCAGTCTTGAAGAATTGCTATTAGTATACATAAAAAAGTTCTTAACAAATTCATTTAAATTATTAATGATATACGATATTTAGAAATATTTTATCTGAAGCATATTTTTAGGCTTTCGCGAGTTTAGATCAGAAATCTTTAGCATGTGCAAATATACTTGGATTTTCATATATGTTCGGTCACAGAACTATGTAAAATCTTCTCACAGTGCATAAAAAGTCCATAGGAACGAAATGTGTATGACGTTTAGACAAAACATGAGTCAAATTGATGAGACAACAAAAATGAGAACCGGTTGACATACAAATATGTAATTGCTCTGTCCAGACATCAACTGAGATGACAGAAAAAAAAAGATTATAGACTAATTAATAATTGTAGAATCACATGATAATCAAGATAGATTACATGTGTTTACATTCATTCAAATATTTCTCTCACAGTTGTCGGTTGAAATGCAAATTTAGCTGAAAGTCGGTTAACGAACTCTAAGGGGGAAATATTTTCATACTTGCATGCAGAGATTAAATGACTTATTAATTAACTTTAAGATAATTGGCTAGGGGAAATAGTAAAACTTAACAGAAAATTCCATTCATTATACTAAGCCTTAAAATATACTCAAGTCGAGTACTTGTTTTATTTACGCACTTGCCGAGGTATTTCTACTGAAAGTAAATATAATTATGGACGTCTTAAAATATCTTATATCATATTTCATATAATTCTAGTTCATCCCATAAAGCAAACAAGTTTCACAAACTTTTGAAAAACCCGCGGAAGTGAACAGAAAAAACAATAATAACGCATTAGCGGTGTGAAACAGTTTTAGTATACCCATTGTAAGTGATGTTGAATAGGGTATGCTGACTTTAAGTGTTGATGTGAGATATAGTCTGTGTATATATGATGAAATATTAATATGTGTGTAGATATATAACTATGTATACTCCATATCACATCTGTTTGTTATATAAGAGAAGATCCATAAACGTATTCGTTTACTTAGGGAGCCTACACATAACAAACTAATTAAGTTCACATATCTGTCTACCCCTTAGCTCTTATATACTGAGCATAGGCTACCCACACAAGACCTCTAAGCAAAGTGTTTTCATTTCACTTCCACATTTGATTAACTTTAAGCAATTTACACAGTATGTGCTAGTCGTGTTTCATTCATGTTTACGATCTTCGCCTATTGCTACCTATTTGGTCAATATTTGCCGAGACGTGGAGTAAGGTCAATGTCAGGCAGCGTCTGCAGTCTATGGAGCATGCGTGAAAGCATGAAAACCAGTCCATGACGCGATTTCGGCGCGTTTCCGAGGCGTTTCAAGCGCGTTTCTTACTTTGCGTGTGCGTTTGGCGCGTTTCCGTTGTGAATTTTGGCAACACATTTTGGATGCGCCGAAGGTCTGCCAGTTTCCGTAATAGATTTGGCCAACAAATAGTTGTTATGGGGCGTGGTTGTGGCTATACCTTCTGCACATATATAAAACTAAATCTGTTGAAGTGCCGCAGTTTTAGTTTGTATTCGAGCGTCGCCGGAGTTAAGTTTCTAAAATGTATTGGCGCTCGCGTTTCTGTCTGCTCGTTCTCTTCCTCGCGCTGGTGGCTGCCCAGAAGAGCAAATCGAAATCATCGGATCGACCACAGGGACGCACATTGGGCCTGCTAACGCCGTTGCTGCTCGGCGCGGCGGCGAGTCCGCTGTACGATGTGCCCGTGTTGCCCGTGGGTGGCACCACTGGAGGTGGCAGCGGTTCAGGCACACAGTCGGATTCCTACTATGGAGGAGCTGGCGGTGGTGTAGGTGTAGGCGGCTATCCGGGCTATGGCAGCTACTATGGCTATGGCTATCCCAGTCTGGGCCTAGGCTATCCCAGCTTCGGCTTGGGCTATCCCAGCTATGCCAACTACTTGGGCTATCCGAGCTATGGCTACAACAGACCCAGTTACAACTACAACAGCTACAATAGACCCAACTACAACTACAACAACTACAACAGACCCAACTACAACAACTACAACAACTATGCCGGCTATCAGCGACCCACACAGTATCCAGGCAGCTACTACGGCTATCGGCCCAGCTACAACAATTTCAATAACTATGGCAACGGCGGCAGCTATGGCAATAGACCCGCTGCCTATCCAACGCCAGTCAGCTCCAGTCCCAGCTCAGGTGGCACGGCAACAGGTGGTGCTGGCTCCCAGCTAACCACGGCGCAGGCAGCACAAATCGCTGGACTGCTGGGCCAAGCGTTGGGCAGCAGTTTGCGTCCTCTCCTAGCCAATGGTGGTGCAGGCGGTGCTGGTGGTGCTGGAATCAATGCGCAAGCGCTAAGCAATATTTTGAGCACCATCAGCCAAGGCTAAACTTGTTTACTCCAAGTGATTAATGAAGTATTTGTAAGCTAAGTCTGTTAAAATGTTAAATATTGTTATTGCATTAATTTTGTTTTTTACAAATATTATATTTAATATATCACTCAGCATGAGTTGCAATTATATATTTTTGTTCATGATTCACTGGATTCTAAGTAAGTTGAATGAACTCATAAAGGGGATTCACTGTGAAGCATTGGCGTAAGAAATCTCTCGATAAATTTTCAAGATTTTCCTTATTAAATATTTGATATTATATGCAAACCCTTTTAATACGTTGAGGTATTTGATGCCAGCCTAAAAGTATGTTTTCGATTGCATGCTCACAAGCGCTTGCTAATTGACATAAATTAGAATTTAAATACATGCTGTTGACTTTTGAGAGTGAAAGAACTTTTTGCTATTGTGTTATTTATAAAGCAATGGACCTTGTTTGCCCTGCACTTCAAACAACCCGCTAGAATGCAGAGTCATTCAGGCAAAGAGCGTGGTGAAATTGTGGGTGTCAATAGTTTTAATTGGAAATGCAAAGTGCAAGTCTTGGACCGGGAGTATAAAAGCGGCAGTTGGCCACCAACATACCTAACATACCCAATAGACCTATTGGTAGACAGTTCGTATTCCTCGATCTATTCGCAATGAAGCTGTGCATTTTGTTCGTGATTGCAATGATCAGCTTTGCCTGTTGCTTGCCGGCTCCAATTACGCTGGAGCAGATGGAGTTGGAGCTGCAGCAGGCGTTGCAGAATCAGGACAATAAGGACAAGGACAAGGACTCGGCAGCTACCTTGAAGGATGTCGCTGATGTGGGCGCCCAACACTCAGACCAAGGCGCTCGTAAATTACGCCATATATATGGCGGCCCTTGGTCACAGAGCTTCAACTACTTTCCCCGGCCACCCTGCAACGACTACTATTATTATTATTACTGGTGGTAAATCTAATAGTCTACTCTCATGATTCGAAATATTGCTGAAACCGATTTGATATATGGAAACGATTTGGATATGCTGTAAAATTATTATTTAAGTTTTGTTTGCTTAAAATGCTTTAAAGATTTTTGATATTTGAGAACATAATTAAAATACTTTGATCATATATTTGAAACAACACTTGTTTAAATTTGAACTAGATGACATGGATCAAAGATCAGAGCTTTTAGTAAATTGATGATAGATCATAGATAAGAGATCATAGATCATTGATAACATAGATCATAGAACATAGATCATAGATCATAAAACATACATCATAGATCAAAAATCACAAATCATAGATAACATAGATCATAGTTCATAGATCATAGTTCATAGATCATAGATCATAGATCATAAATTATAAAACATACATCATAGTCTATTAATCATAATGGGCCATAAACGATAGAATGGAATTTACATATTATTTCATATTTAATAGAGTTTAGATCATAGACTAAAGCTCATAAAAAACTTGATTTTGTTTACCTTAACGAAGGGTTAACAGCGGGGTCAGCTCTATCACTTACTTTAAATAATCAACTGTTAAATTTTAAAGTTAGCTAATCGTCATTGCATAGAATTATTCAATACTTAGTCATAAAAAAAACGATTTCGCTGCCCGTCTATGAAGGTGTTAATTGACGCTAGACTGGAAGGGAATCACAGCGAGGCTTGTGACGTTGATTGAGTAAATAAAGTATGTGCAAGCTCATCCATATTTAAGCAGAATTCACAAGAGTAAGAGTAGATGCTTGTCATTGATCAAATAGGCTGGCTCTGAATATGCTAATATTAGTAACATCCATCTGCTTACTTTTGCTCCATTCCAAAGTATTTCACATTGTAAGCTTAACGTCTTTATTAGTCGGAACTAGTTTCCAGCATCTAACAAAGATTCACACCTACTTAATTTGCTGCTACCAAATCGAACGGGAATCGAGTCGAGTCAAGGTCGGATTCAAATTTATTTGCATACAGTACTTCATATGAATTTATATTCATTCTGATGCCAAATCGCCTCCATTTGGGCAGCGCGACGTCGCCGTTCTTTGCGCTCCTCGATCTGATAGAGCTGTGCCTCTTTGGTAGCCAGCAGTATTTGCCTCGTCTCCTCGTGACGATGCTCCTCTGAGTTTTCGCTGCAAGCGATTCAAGTAAAATTTCTAAGGAAATGTCGCTTGCACAGAATTTAGCTGACTCACATCTCTCGCTGCAGTTGCTTCTGTTCGAGCAGCTGACGTTCCGCTGCCTCGTCTCTCATCAGCGCCATTTGGATCCATTCAATGCGCTTATTCTGGGCTAGGTCCGTCTGGGCTTGCTGCAGCTCCGCCAGCTCCTCATACAGCTGCTGCTCCTCGCTGTGGAGCAGGTGAGCGAGCAGATGACGACGTCTATCCAAATCCTCTGCATATTCGCCTAGCTTACGTTCTACACGGCACTCAATTTGGGTATTTCGATTGCGTCGATTGGTTCGATTCAGAAATTCGGCCACATGCATTTTCGGGCTGTTGCTTGTTTGGTCGTTGACTGGACTCAACGAGCCTTGGTAACGGCATAAAGAATGTTCAGTGCTGACTACTCGATTGGTTCTGTTACTGTACTGTTAGCTGTATTTACATTTCATTAAACATACTGTTGTTGCATATACATATGAACTCTTAGAAACTGAGGAATAAACATAAAGAGGCTGAAATACAGATATAGAGTTTTCTCTAGATAGAGAGCGGAGGAGAGAGAATGTCTATATGCGAGCTTAGCAACCATATGATGGATGATATGAGCTCCAAGAGTCCTTTTGCAATTTAATATTTTCTAATCCAAAATTGAATAATTGCATTCTTAGCCATACAAATCAGTAATACATACATATATTATTCATATTCAGTAATACTAAGTAAATGAGCTGAGCTTACATTTTAATCCGCCCCTCCGAGACTAATTAATCATAAGCGCCTACAAATTATGGGTATTTCCATACGGCTGAAACAACAATTCATCTTGCCAAATCTGCAATAAATAGGTCTGGCATTACACAGGTTGGGGTCAGTTGAGAATTGCATTAGAACCGGAAAGATGCGCCTAACACTATTGCTGCTGATAATTGTGGGAGCCGTCTGCCTGAGCGTGGGCTATGGCCAGCCACTGGAGGATGATTCAGTTAAGGATAACAATAACGAGTTATCTCTGCTAAGTCTGGCCGATCAGGGCGATCAACATGGAAACGAAGGCGCTCGTGAGGCTCGTGCGTTTGGATATGGACGTGGAGGATATGGTCGTGGTGGTTTCGGATATGGAGGATTTGGTCGTGGTGGCTTTGGATATGGAGGATATGGCCGTCGTGGCTTTGGATATGGAGGATTTGGCCGTGGTGGCTATGGATATGGAGGATTTGGTCGTGGTGGCTTTGGTCGTTATGGCTATGGCCGCTAATCTGGCGAGAATTTACATATACTATTATACCACAAAAATATGTATAATGTAACACAATCTGAACATGTTTGAAAACAAAGTAAATCTCATATTACTTTATATATTCAAGAGTATTATTTAATTGGTGAACAGTTTAGTGTGAAGGTGTGAGATCAACAGTGAAGAGCTCTAGTTTTTAAAAGTAGACAGTGCTAATTTACCTCTTAATTCTGTAATCCTATGCAAAGCCTTAATCATAAATAACAATTCTTAATTTGTCATTGCTCAAAGTTAATAATGTTTAGCTCATTAGAAGTATATCACAATTGAGCTTAGAAACAAGTTTTGCTCTTTAGCTACCCAATTATTCATTTAACCAATTTGCATTATAAAAAGCAATATAATATATATATATATATATATATATATATATATATATATATATATATGTGCATACATGTGTCATATCAGCTTAACTATGCGTAATTTGAATATTTTGTTTCGGCTAATTTGTTTTGATATTTTCGATTTCTCGTTTCATTTTTGTTCCATTATGAAGCATCAGTGTGTCATGGAGAACAATTCACGATTATATGCGAATTTCGAGTGTTTACTTATTGGACTTTTGACTTTAGCTCTACTTATGTATTCTGTATTCATAGTATATACATTTAGCATAGCTGTAGCGAATGACTTGTCGTTTGCTATTTAAGTAGCTCACTGGCCAAAGTCTGCTTATGGGACTTTACAAAAATACTTGTGGTAATACTATTAGTTATTGTACTAGTAGTGGCAGTAGAAGCAGAATAGTAGTAGTAGTAGTAGTAGAGTAGCAGAATAGTAGTAGCAGCTGAATAGTAATAGTAGTAGTATTAGTAGCAGAGTAGTATCAGTAGTAGTAGTAGCAGAATAGTAGTAGTAGTAGCAGAATAGCAGTAGTAGACGCAGTAGTAATTGCAGTAGTGGTAAAAGAAGTAGTATAAGAATAGAAGTAGTAGTAGCAGAATAGTAGTAGTAATCGCAGTAGTAATTGCAGTAGTGGTAATAGAAGTAGTAGCAGAATAGTAGTAGTAGTAGTAGCAGAATAGTAGTAGTAGTAGCAGAATAGTAGTAGTAATCGCAGTAGTAATTGCAGTAGTGGTAATAGAAGTAGTAGCAAAATAGTAGTAGTAGTAGTAGCAGAATAGTAGTAGTAATCGCAGTAGTAATTGCAGTGGTGGTAATAGAAGTAGTACCAGAATAGTAGTAGTAGTAGTAGCAGAATAGTAGTAGTAATTGCAGTAGCAGAATAGTAGTAGTAGTCGTAGAAGTAGCAGAATAATAGTAATAGGAGTAGTAGCAGAATAATAGTATTAGTAGTAGTTGCAGAATAATAATATTAGTAGTAGTTGCAGAATAATAGTAGTAATAGCAACAGTAATAGTAGTAGTTGTAACACTAAAAACTCAGACAGCTCACTTGTCTCGTCCCCTTTACAACACTTACATTATAGCATTATTAATGGGGAGCTTCTCCCCCATTAAGTGGGCATTGCACAGTGACCTGCTTAGATGCATAATTTGTATGACAATAACAAGAGTTAAAACAAAAGAAATTTAATTTGAGCAACAACAACAACCGCAGGCAGAACAGGTGTAATAATCTACAGAGCAATAAATATATAAAAACATTGTGAAAGTAACAATGCCTGGCATCGAATCCAGCAAAAGGTAAACAAAAATACCCATCTCCAGTCTAATATGTTTGTGGATTTTAAGTACTGTGCGACACTTACGAGAACAGGAACGGGAACAGCTCATCCGGTTCTGGCCAGGCTCTGGTTGGGCAAATAAAAGGCCGACGGATTAAAGCATTAGGCATCAGTGAAACACAATCACTCAAGCAACCAAGTAATAAACCAAATCCATATAAGGAATTCTCCAATCAGGATGCGCTTCACACTTTTGGCACTCATCGGCGTGGTATGCCTCGCCTACACCTATGCCCTGGCCGGCGCCGAGGCTGAGGAGCAGTACCCTGACGCACCGCTCAATCTGCTCAGCCTTGAGATGGATGGAAATGCACATGAGAACGAGGGTCTCCGTCAAGCACGCCAGGTTTGGGGTGGAGGCTATGGACGCGGCCTTGGCTGGGCCGGCGGCCGTGGAGGCTGGGCCGGCGGTCGTGGAGGCTGGGCCGGCGGACGTGGAGGCTTGTCTGGCTGGGGTGGTCGTGGCGGCAGATGGGGCGGTCGCCGTTGGGGCGGCGGTTGGTAAACTGTCCAAGTCGAAGCACATATGTATAATCCAAGCTCCAGGACAGAACCTTCAATTTTTGCATATTTTCTGTTTGCCAATAAAGAACATTAAAAATAACAATTTTTTAAACTGGATTTTAATTATGTATTTAGGATTTTTAGCACTAAAAAAAATCTTAAAGGATGTCGAAAAAAATAGAAATTTTTTAGTTTCATAAAATATATATTTTTTATAATTAAATAAAGAAATTTTTAGATGATTTTTTTTTTTTAAATGTATAATACAAAATTTTAAAAATAGTTAAAAGTCAACATCATGATTATTTTCAACCATTTATAATTAGTTTTTTCTCTACTGAAAACATGTTACAATTTAATATTTTTGAATTCCGCAATTTCGTTTAGTAATTAATTAAAATACTATCTCAAATCTGTTTAGCAACATTAAAGATCTTGAGTAAATGTAAGAAAACATCAAGTCGAGGCTTCTATAGCTTTGCATATTTAAAAAGGTTTCTCGAAAATAATTTGGCTCTCTTTTTTAATCTGTCATCAGACAATAAAGCCATTTATCCTTCAACTCTTTGTCATCAAATTAATAAGTTTATTGACTTCTCTTGCTTGAGTTTCATATTTCTAAAAACATTTCACATTTTGTTTAATTTATCTTCATTTTTTGTTCTTTCGCTTTGTTTTGTGTTTTGTTTTGTGTGTTTGTCTCAGAACTGGCTTGGACAGTCCTCCCATTTAAATGCTTGCCTTATTATACGCTAATCAGTGCTTCCATTATTTTTGCCAAGTCATTTTTAACGCTCAGCGCCGTAAATAAGTGAAAGTGGCATCTGGAATTGCAGTTGAAATTTATGTAATGGTATTTGTTGCTGTATATAACTGAGCTTTGCACCCGTGAAATGTCTGGCAACGCTGCTATTTTTTATTAGATTTATTAAGTTGGACTTTTGTTTATTTGGATTGATGATATTTTACAATAAATAGATGAGTCAGTATATTTATTTGCCACAGTGTACGAGCTGTATATGCTCGAAATATTCTCGTCATACAGTTAACTGTATAAATGGAAACCATTTGGACTCAATTGCAGCTAAAGAACAAAATTTGACTTATGGAACATATACTCGTTAATGCCCTCGTCTTATAAAGTGCTTAGTAATAAAGATTGTCCGATAGGGAAGAGCAGGCCATATAAAGCAGGAGCTGCATAGCGTTCTATGCACGAGCACTGGAAAAAAAAACATATAATTAGATTATGATATAAAAGTGATCTCATATAGGGTATCTAGTCAAAATTAGACACTTCCATTAGTATTTGCTTAATTGGATCAAAACAAAAATAAATGAATATATTGCACAAAACTTGATTAAAGAAGCGTTCTTCTTATTGTATGCAAATTAGTGAATTCACGCAGTCTCACGTATTGACAGGGATTCACACACACACACACACACACACACACACACACACACACACACACACACACACACAGGCACAAAGACTTGCACACACCCACTCTAGCTACAAGTTCTAATAAATTCAGCTGTTAATATAAGCCACTTAGGACTTTCGTAACACTGATCAACATGATTTGGTTACGAAGAAACATCTGGAACTTAAAATTTTTTAGAAATATTTATATATAAAATATAAAAAAAACAAAAATTTAATTTTTTTATAATAAAATATATAAAAAAAAATCCTTAAATATAAATATCTAAAATTCAAGTGAGGGATTAAAATCTCAGTCGCAGTTGAATCCAGCAATAGAAAAAGCTTTCGTAGTTTCTCTGAGCCTCAAGACTTAACAAAAACCTGGGTACATTTGTAGTCGTATATTTCTAGGTTTTGCAGAACTTCAAACCCAAATGATATCGTTTTCTAATACCCGTTACGTTTATAGCACTTTAATGAACTGCAAGTCATGTCCAAGACTGACTCACAGAATTTCATCACACTCTTGCTGGCCTGTGTAATTGGGAAGTACCTATTGGGCAGGTGCAACTTTTCGACCGTGTGCTAAGCAAATGCCAGCGCGAAGCAGGTGTAATAACCTTCTAGCGCATGATCAACAAATAAATAAATTACGTGAAAGTGAACAAAATAAACAGAATTGCAATAATTAATATAAACAAATAAAGTCCAACCACAAGTTTTACGCGGCCTTAGAGCTGATATACATATACATACGATGCCAATTAGAAGAAGGCGCTGAAAATGAAGAACAACAAGTCGAGCTCGCAGGCAAATATAAGCCGGTCGAAATTAGGTTTGCAGCATCAGTTCAACTTGGAACGATTTAGCGAGTATATCGAGAGCGAGAGAGCCAGGAAATCAAAAGTCAGTGAAAGATGCGTTTAACACTTGTGGCGCTAGTTGGCGCAGTTTGCATCGCCTGCAGCTTTGCCCATCCGCTGGAGGAGCAAGCCGAGAAGAACGACCTATACAACGTGGCTGATCTGGGACAGGCCCATGCCAATGAAGACGGACGACAGGCTCGATTCCTGCTTGGAGGCCTCGGCGGCTGGGGTGGCGGCTATCGTGGCGGCTGGGGCGGTGGCTGGGGCGGCGGCGGCTGGGGCGGCGGCTGGGGAGGTGGCGGCTGGCGTGGCGGCTGGGGAGGTGGCGGCTGGGGCGGCGGCTGGGGTGGTGGCTATCGTGGCGGCTGGGGCGGCGGATGGCTTGGCTAAGCTCGGCTCAAGCAAGCAAATCAGCCCCTATCAAGGACCTCCTGCCAAGCAGCTACTGCACCGCATTAGCTACTAAATCCTTTACTGGTGTTTGTAAATAAAGAACATTTAAAAAATGAAAGTTTTTGTTGGTTTTTATCCTTCCGAGAATCTTCTAAATATCATAGCGTTTTAAAAAATAACTTTTTGGCCTTAAAAAGTACAGGAAATCAAGTAGGAAAGCTCTAGCTGAAACTGCTCGACTAGGAACAGCAAATGATGAAGAAGAGCTACAGAAGATCATCTCAGTTGTCTATGTACGTGCAGCAGCACTCTTTTGGTATTTATAATTGAGTACCACGAAGCTAGAATGCTTGAACCAATAGAGAGAGAGAGAGAGAGAGAGAGAGAGAGTGAGTTGTGTTTCCATTGGTCACTTATAGCTCGACTGCAACGAGCCCTACCTAGCATCGGCCTCTACATACGAGCACGACTTAGGCCTTGAGTGAAAGTCTCTCTATATAAAGGGCAGCAGCTGCTGCATTTCTTCAGTCGCCCAGACCCGGTGGAGGTCATTCGTGCAGTGCTTTTAAATCAAGTCAAGTGTGTGAACATTCCTAAGCATTAAAGACGTGGAGGCAATACTTAACTAGAGCAAATACTTAAAGGAAATACTTGGAGGAACTAATTGGAGGAAATGCTTAGAGGAAGCACTTAGAGAAATTAAAAATCAATTTTTTTAAGGATTACATTTATTTATGCTATCATCAATACTTCATTAATACATATACATACCGGTACATATTCTACATCCCATGCCCAATCTAATAAATCAAGGTCAGTCGATATATATATTTTTTCGAGCAATATTCGTTTTATTGCATAGCTTGCTTTAAGTCGTACGACAATTTAACAATCAAACTTACATAATGTACAAAACATATGCATACACATATATAAATACATTTATATACATATACATATACACGCAATTCGTTAGGCGCTAGGTAGATGTGAAAGGGAGTTTGAAAGAGAACGCAGGGAAAATGCATAAATATACACAGAGTGAAGGGAAAGGGAGAGAGTGAGTGGGAGGGAAAGTGGAGACAATTTACAGAGACAGTGGTCTGTGCATCCGTTGCTGCCGACCAGCTGAGCTTCATCCTGGATGTTATCATACAAATCTATTCAATTATACATATATTGTAAATATATATATTTCTCAATGGTCGTCATTTTTGATTTATTTGAAGAATCTGCGTGGAGCAGCGGCAGCTGGGCTAACGGGAGGTGGAGTTGGAATGTGAGCGCCCTCGGCACGGAAGCCATTCTCATCGGCGATGTAGGTGATGGTATAGAGAACACCATCGGGGCCGGTGTACGAGTAGGAGCCTTGCATGACCTGGCAGAGAAAATAAGACGATAATATAGAGAAGATTCTGCGAAGTGTCTAAAAGTAGGCAACGAAAGCGTTAGAAAGCTTTCACTTGCTCCTGAAACTGGGCAACGGGTAAAAGTCTACCTGAGCTTCCAACTGCGAACCGGGATTCTTGAGGTAGCCAGCTTCATCGGCGCGAATTCCGTTGCTCGTCTCGTAGCTGTGAAGGAATTATATGAGAAATATTTAATTAAAAAATATAAATATATATAATGAAATAGAGCATGAGTTATATATACTATTTGCTGTAATAATTTCTGAATGAGAGCTGGATTATCATTATAATAGAGAATTCATATCATAGACTAAGATTAATTGGTGAAAGGAATGATTCACTGATGAACCAAATATTCTACTTATAGAGCTGCCTAAATGAGTTTGTGGAGTGGAAGTATAATATGTATAATCCATAAAGGTATGAAAGAACTGAGTGAATGATTGACAGTCTAACTGACTTAAGTATACATAGATCTATTAATACGACAATCTGAATAATTGACTTATAGGTTGCCGGATTGAATAATCGATTGATTGATTGATTGGTTGAGTGATTACTTATTAGACTAACTGACTGAATAACTAGAGAGCTGTGTGTACCATGAAGATGTACAAATGCTCCAGTACTTTGACAAAGTGACTAATTGACAGACGAAATGATTAACTAAATTACATTAACTAAATTACAGAAATGATTAGCTAAATGACAGACTGAAATTGGGAATGAAAAAGCTCAAGTAGCAGTTAACTATTTCACTGATTGAAGGAACCACTGTGGCTTAGCGCAAAGCCGATTGAATGTCTTGCTATATCAGTGATTGACTGATTCTAAATGATTGCCTATCAATTCAATATAAGCCTATTTCCACATATATTTCCCAATTCTAATTAAAATGTCATCAGCTCAACATCAAGATCAACTTACTTGTATTGATAGGAGCCATCCGGATTCAGATCAAAGTTCTGCTTGAGTATCACAGCATTCGCATCGTATGAGTTGCCGCGGGGCTGAGCCAGACCGCGTTGGGGCTGAGCTGTGACCAGGCACAGGGAGCACAACGCCAGGGCGGCGACGACGTAGGCGGAGCTAAGCAACTGCATGACCTTTTTGTAGGTTCGATAAACGACAAAGCAGATGATTGGTTAATTGAGACACAGCAGCAGCGACAGCAACTTCAGATAATGTCAAACGATGTGAGTAATTGCAATTGATGGCTCTGCTAATAACCAACAATCATCTTTTATGGCATCTTTCGAAAGTCAAAAAAATAATTGGCGAGACAAGAAGGTCGCAGTTAAATGCTGGCTTAATATGCATATGAGTAGTGGGGGAGGAAGAGGAGAAGAAGAGACACAGAAGTGCATTGTGAAACTTTGATAGGGTACTAAATTTTAAGTGCATATGAATACAGGGCGGAAGAGAGAATTGAAGTCGTTCTGCTATCGATTATTGGTTATGGATATTTTGCTGAAATTACTAAAATACAAAATATAGTCGAACTCTGAAATAGAGACAACATGTGAGAGAGCGAGGCCGGGCATTAAGGAATACAATATCGATCAATCGATTCTTGATTCTATCGATATTTTCGGATTATATGAGTTTAGCTCAGAAATATTTTCGCCTCAGCTAGGAAACTGTTTTTATCAACTATTTTATTCAAGCAAGCAAGCAAGTCCAGAGTACTTTTATTTCTTGATTTAGATCTTATATATCCTTTTGAGAATATATTTTTAGAAACTTGTAAATCTCTAGATTGTAGCACTAGGAAATCCAAAGACAAATCCTTGCCCACAAGGAAATTGTTTTATAAAATGTTCATAATATTTTCTTTTCTGTTATTTATTTTTTTTTTGTATATTATATTTTGTTGTATCAGATCCTTGCTGATCCTTGGGCACAACACACAAAACACAAGAACTCACTTTAATGAATTTGAGCGCGATTTTGTGTTGAACTGAAGCGTTTGTGTGGCGCTCGAAAGGCTCGTCAAAACTGTTTTGACTTGAATGCAGTCGACGCAAAGGTTTTTATACCAAAAATGCATTCACTGAGCCGCAGCAGCAGCAGCAACAACTGCAGCAGCAGCGGCAGCAGCGACAGCATCCGCAACGAGAGCAGCGCAGCAGCAATCAGATTGTCAAGACGAAGAAGAAGAAGAGGCGGCAGCAGCGTCAGCTAGAAGATCAAGAAGCTGTACATTTGACAGCAGCGGCCGAGTTGGCAACAGAATCGGAAGAGGCTGCCACATGTACCACGCGGCGTATGCGCAACGTGTTTCAGAATGCAAATGGGCGTTGCGCATACGCCATGTATAAGCAGCATATGACTGAGTGTGTGTGTGTGTGTGAGTATGTGAGTGTGTTATATCAGTTGAGCCGACAGCTAAGCTACATTCTGTGTATATGTGTAGCTGTGTGTGTGTGTGTGTGGCACGCCAGCTTGTCTAGTCTTTAATTTATGTGAATTAGCAATGCGAAGTTCATTTGATTAGCCCACGCTGGCGTTTACCCACACCTCTCTCCCTCTCCCTCTCTCTCTCTCTCTCCCGCTCACTCACTGTGTGTGTGATTCAATTTGCGATGCGCCGCAATATGCAATAATTTGTTAATTCAAATATTAATTAAAAGATTAATAGCAAGACTTATGGCATGAATGTTGCAATTGCCTCGTTGAATCTATGAGCATTTGCTTGCATTAAATTCTCGTTTCTTGTTTTCATGCTTATTGACATTTGCAATGCGATTTGCCTTGGGGGCGGGGCTTGGCGCAATGTTTGCCCACTTGTTTATGGAACACAATTGAATGCATCATCCAAAACACAATCATTTGTTTGCCATTGTTTGATTTGCAGCATCTCAGCAGATGGCAGACAGCAGACAGCAGGAGCAGCAGCAGACAGCAGCAGCAGCAGCAGGAGACGCGGCAGCAGCTGTTGCTAATCACAATTTAGACATTTGAAACGCTTGCGCATGTTGGCCAATTTGCTGACCAACTGTGCCACTCCCCTGCACCAGTTCCCACTGAAATGTGAACCAAATGATATGCCCACCGCAAAGGGTATGCGGCAAAAGGGGGCGGGGCTGAAGCTTCAGCTTCAGCTTCAGCTGTGCTAAGCTAAGCCGGCCGGCGCATAAAAATTGCAATTTTCAGCTTTAAACTTTAAACTTTTGCAGCGTGTAGGAAATGTCAGTTGCAATTCATAAAAATTGCAGCAATAGCTGCGGCCACAACAACAACAGCAACAGCAACAACAAGAGGAGCTGGAGCAACAACAACAAAGAGTGCGCGCTGATCACGAACATGCCATGATGAACATCGCGCGAGATTAACGCGCCTCCAACAACAACAACAACAACAGCAGCAGCAGCAAATGAGAGTGCTCCAGTCGGGTATGTGTGAGCGTAAGATGCTCTGCAAACATGCCAAAACATATAAATTGATGAATGTATGTAAATTGTATCTATTAAAATGGAACTAAGCTAGACATATATTATTAATATATTATTAATATTAATTAATTATTATAAGTATTCCCGTAATCCGTTTTATTGCTGCACTGCCTACTGTCGCCTACTCCATTAGCTAACCAATATACCCTGTGCTAGCCTGCATTCAAATGCGCTCGGTTAGTGCAGCGAAGACGCCTTCTCTAAGCTCAGTTCGAGCTCCACCTCTCTGACTCCACCCTGCGCCTCCACCCGCCTCCGCGTTCAGCTGATCTTTGCCTAAGCCACCCTTTATTGTGGCTCTTGTTGTTGTTGTTGTAGTTGTATTGTTGTGGCTTTTCCTTTTCGTCATTTGTGCATTTTGTGTGGCGCGATTTGCCCGCGTTTTGCTGGCCTTCGTCTCAGTCAGCATCTGTAGCGGTTTAAGTGCATCTGCAGTTCTCTTCCAAATGGAGCATTTCGAATGTGTGATAGTGTTTGTCACATACATGACTATATTTATATGTAAGATATATCTATACTTTTACATACATATACCACAATCTAGTTATTATTCTCAATAAGTGAATAAATATTACCTAATATATATATATACATATCTTTAGGCATACATATATACCCAAGTAAACCACAAAGCTAAGCTAAGGCCCTCGACTTGATATTGTTATTGTTATATTTGTAAACTTCTAATCAAATTTTACTTGATTGCTCACTCCTTCAATCAACACCCACACCTCACTAGCTGTGTAAGAGCAGCATCACTTCACCCGCTTGCCCTACGATAGTTCCTCTTATGCTCGCTCTCCTTACGATAGCTCTTCGAATACATAATTTCTGTATTTACTCTCAGCCGGACGCTGCTCTAATATTCGACAAGCCCTATATATATGATTTCGTATCTAAGAAAACTTGCTTTGTCATTATCATCAGATTTACTTCTTTAACCAGACAGGTGTATAGTAATTCATTAGATTTTCTTGCAACCTTTCCAAGTAAATCCCATCAGAAGTCACAGAGACAAGAATTGGGCAACGCTAAACAAGATCTTCCTCGCTTCTGCAGCTCGGCGCTCTCCATCCATCAGTCACCACATCTCTTCGAAAGGGTATTCGAACGTCGCTCAACCCTAGACCCGCTTCACTTCTCGTTCACATTTGACATACGCCATCTCAGTGCTTGGCCTACTCGTATTTGCAATACAGTTTCACACTCGTATTTCTCATTTAGTTGCTATTGCTCTCTGCCCAGAAAAAATTCCCGTGTGCCTGAGTGGACGTTGCTCAGTCTCAGTTGGAGTTTTCCGTCAGCTCGTTCGTTTCCCATTCACAATGATGAATGAATGAATGAATCGCATGTGTAATTCATTTTATTAGTCGTCTCAATCAGAGCTCGCATCATAAGTGCGCTTAAAATCTATCTTGAAATTTATGCGGCTTTTTATCTGGTTGTCGCAATGCTTCTTCTTTTTCGTCTCCGTCTGCATTAAACTGATATGCCTAATGATCGATGTGCATGAGTGTAGGTATGTAGGTATATGCTAATATTGAGTGCAGTTTCTGAGAGAAATATTAAGCCGAGTCAAGTTGGCCAGGCCGAAAAAAAATGAAACGAAAACGAGTTTATGACGCAGCTTAATTGTTGCCCTGCAAGCAGTTGTATTGAATGAGCATATTGGCTATGTGAATCGTGGAGGTAATCCACATGAGGTGACTTTGAACATTCAGCAAGAAGTGCGCCTGGTGGAGCTGTTATTTTGAGGGACTTATACTAAAAGAGCTAGACCATATATGAATGTAAAAAGTTAGTATCCAGACCATCTCTCTACAACATTGGATAATATTTAATATAAATGCAAATAAAGATTTCGAGAATAGAATTAGCTTTTATTATTCAAATGCATTTTCTATGAAATCGATAAAAATCGATATAAATGTTGTTTTCATAGATTTCATAGATTTCGTTCTATAGCCCCTAATTGCTCATAAACTGCGCACATATGCAAATTGTTTCTTTCTCTTTTAATAACCCTATCTCCATCTCTTTACGCATCTGTTTTGCTTATCAATGATAGAAAGCTAGAATATTTTAGATTCAGAGTATACAACAAACAAGCACTCTCTCTTTCTCTTTCACTCTTTCTCTATAGTTCATGCCAACTTCTATTTAATTAGCATATATTTCGTAAGACATTAGAACTAGCTTCAAGTGTGATCTAAGAACTTGCCAGAGCATTCAATAGCTCTGAGCAAATTGTAAGCCCAACTAAATATTTTTTCTGGAATTCCAATAAACGCAGATTCATTAATTATATTTTCGGCCTCTTCGGCCTGAGTTGATCTCTGAATATTTCCCCACGCTGATTCACTGTGTTGTGTGAATAGTTATGCAAATCGAGCTGTGAGTGTTTTATTAAAATACATTCGGCGAAGTTTCTATAGAATTTCTTTACTGTTTTTATTTTTTATTTTTGTTTTATGGTTGTGCTTTTTTTTGGGTTTGTATATTATAAATAACGTAATGGATGCTAATTCGTTGTCGACTGCGCCATATAAAAGCGACGCATTGCCCAAACTTCTAGCCAAGTTAAGAGAGAAGACGAGACAAGACGCGACATGTTCAAGCCAACTATCTGCCTGTTCGTGCTGGCGGTGGCCAGTGGTGCTGTTAGTGGTGCCAGCATTGGTGGCAAGCTAATCAACGATGTGACCACCGAGAAGCGTGAGATTATTCCCCTGCTCAGCTTTGAGGTGGACAAGAAGCCCGACGGCTCGTTCCATTTCCAATACGAGGGCGGCGATAGGAGCTACCGCGAAGAGACCGGCTCGGTGAGCAATGCCGGCACCGATGAGGAGGCCATCGAGGTGCAGGGCTCCTATCGTTACATCGATGCCGATGGCCAGGAAGTGGTGGTCCACTACACCGCCGGCAAGAATGGCTACGTGCCCATTGGCACCAACATTCCCGCTGAGATCTCGAATCTGGCCAAGGCCGCCGCCAACCTGCCCGAATACACCGAGGAGCAGCAACGTGCCGATCGCTACAATCAGCGTCGCGCTCGCTCCAAGTCTGAGGAGCAGCAGCCCGTCGAGGCAGCTAAGACTCTTGTGGCCGCTGAGCCCGTCCAAGCAGTGGCTCCAGTACCCGCTGAGTCCGTCCAAGCAGAGACAGTTGTTGCTGATGACGTCGCCCAGACAAAGACAGTCGTGGCCGCTGAGCCCGTTCCAGCTGAAGCATCAGCAGTCGTCGCCGCAGAGTCCGTCCAAGCAGAGACAGCTGTACCCGCTGAAGCCGCCAAGACAAAGACAGTCGTGGCCGCTGAGCCCGTCCAAGCAGAGACTGTTGGGGCCGCCGAGTCCGTCAACACGGAGACTGTTGTACCCGCTGAGTCCGTCAAGACGAAGAGACTCGTGGCCGTTGACCCCGTTCCAGTAGAAGCAGAAGCAGTCGTCGCCGCAGAGTCCGTCAAGACGGAGACTGTCGTGCCAGCAGAGCCCGTCCAGACGAAAACACTCGTGGCCACAGAGCCCGTTGTTGCCGCTGAATCCGTCAAGACAGAGACTGTTGTACCTGCCGACTCCAAGACAAAGACACTCGTGGCCACGGAGCCCGTTGTAGCCGCCGAGTCCGTCAATACGGAGACTGTCGTGCCAGCTGAGCCCGTTCAGGCAGTGAAGACTCTTGAGCAAGTCAACACAGCTGAGCCCGCTGTCGCGGCCTCTGAGCTTGTGCCCGTAAAGGTGGTGAGCAGCCTGGTATAATAAATGAGACTTAATACGATTCTATGTTAGTATTTTAATTTTCTATATTTGTAAACTGATTAGCAATAAAAAAACAACAACGAAATAAGTGAAAATGTTCAACTGCGAATTTAATTTAAATTTATTTAAACACTTAAAATAAAAGAATTTCCACTCAAAATTAAGTTGAGCAAAGCAATTCTGCAGCAATGCATAAAGTAGACTTTTATATATGAATTTCGGCTATTTAGCTATGAAAACAACACAAAGGAATGATATATATACATAACAAAAATTGATTTAAATTTATTTAAAATAAGGATCTAGCTAGTTCTTTGCGAACTTTCTATTCCTTTATAAAAGATTTGTATTTATTATAACTATTATGTCATCAATGCCTAATTTCATTAATTAGCAAACCAATATACTTCTTTAACACTGCTTGCAATTGACAGAGCTACGAATCTCGTCTATCTATAGCCCCTGAGATCGCACCCAAAATGTTTGCAAAAAAAATATCATGTTAATTGCCAAATAATGATGTCATAAAAACTTTATGGAGAGACACAGAGGCTGCTTTCATGATGAAACGTGAGTTTTGTGGACCATAAAAGCTCTGCTCTCTCTCTCTTTCTCTCTCGTTCTCCTTTTGCCACTCTCTGCCACTCATCAAAACTTCAGGTAGAAACTCTTTTACCTAATGAATGTAGCTTGAAGATTAAAAATTCGGGATCTTCTGACTTAATTGATGGGAGTTGAAAAATTTGCATAATTAGTTGAGCCATTTGTCATTGCTATGATGCTGTCAGATAATTGAGCATTCAACTTCAAATCCTCGTGCTAAATGTAATAAATCATGTGTGCTCAGTTGGACCTAAGACGTTTCTCTGGTGCGAAACAAATTAATTACAGCAATGAATCAAGCACAAGCAGCAGAACTGATTGATGCTGCACTAACGATTGATTGATTGTTCAAGACTTAAATACATTATTCGGAACTGTGTATATAGAGGTGTAAAGCTTAGCCATCAAAACTAATAAAAATATCAACAAAAATTATTCATAAAAAAATACAAATTGAACTATAAGGAATAAACTAAAAAAAATAATTATTAATATAATGAAATTAATAAAAATATTAAAGAAAGCACAAGTAAAAATTAAATGTGTAAGTTTAAATATTATAAAAAAAATTTTTTTTAATACAACGACGTAAATTTTTAAGCTTGCATACTTAAAAAAAAAACTGGACATAAATGAACTAAAAATATAAAATATCGGTAAACAAGACAATTAACATCTTATTTCATATTTCACATAGCAACTACAACAAGTTGAACTATGCCAAGCTCCACTGCAGCATCGAAAGCGGCTAAACGCGTGATTATCATCGATTGCGCATGCCCAAAGCATCGAACAACATGCTTTAGCTTTTCAAGGTCTACGAAGTTGGGAATTTTTAAACTTTTTTTATAGAGAAAGAAAAAGAGACAGAGAGAGAGAGAGAGAAATAAAGGGAGATAGAGAAAGATTATGCAAAGCAGCAGACGAAATTGTCAACACATTTGCGTGTATTCAAATATTTCCTCCGCTTGTCATCGATTCAATATCTTTGATGTTTTTCGTGTTAAATTTTATTGGCATCTTTATTATGTTACATAACTAATTCACTGGCTATATTTCACCTTCGACTCCAATTCAGTGTCAACGTTGTTGGGCAAATCCTTGGCTGCCTCAGCCACGGCCGTGATATCGGGATTAATGATGGAGCCATAGGGCACAAAGCCATTCCGGCCCGCTGTGTAGAAGACCTCAACGGTTTCGCCGAACTCATTCAGGTACTTGTAGGAGCCCTTGACCTCGAGTGCCTCGTCTTCGGTGCCGGCATCCACCAGGGTCGCCACCTCTTCGCGTTTGGTGCCATCGCCAGACTCGTAGGAGGACCTATAGGAACCATCCTCGCTTTTGCTGACCTCCGAGCTCAGAATGGGCACGACTTCCTCTTTCTCGGTAACGGGCAGGGCCTGGGCGACAGCCAGCACAGCCAGGACGAACAAAGGTAGCTGCAAAAAATCCAGATCAAGGCGTTAGCTCGACTATCTGCAGAGTTGGCCTGGGGGGGCTTCAGCGCACTTACGAACTTGAACATTTTATATAAATTCTTTTTTTATATTCGAACTGGATCAACGAAAGCGAGAGTTTGAGTGAGACTCACCTGTGCGTTGGCTTTTATATGCGGCGGGCATTGCGATCAAATAATTCAACGCTTCTCTATGCGCTTAAACATGCCAAACATGTTTGCATCCCGGTTTATGGCAGCTGCGCTACGTCCAAAAACTTTAAACGATGCTCAAATTGCTTCACGCTAAATGTCAGGGTCGTTCCGAAAAAAAGAAAACAGAAACAACGCAAAAATTGTGTCAACCACTGAGGCGGTGCTGCCGTTTAGCCACTCAGTTATTCCAGAACCGCTGCAGCAGTAACTTCCGCACTCTATTTGCTCCCCTATCTTCAACTGCATCCATACGCCGATGGCATACGTCGAGGGCCGTAAAGATCCGACATATAATTCCAAGTTTTATTTTACTTACTTTAACTACTCGAACTCAAAAGACAAACAATGAACTCAGAATTGATCGTCAAGTGTCTGCAACATATTCAAATATTTAGTGAGCCAGCAGACCTACCCAAAATTGGACTGGAAATGCCCAGGGCACTAAGTAAACGTTGTGGCTGTGGCTGTTCGGGCTACTCCTCTGCTGGAGGAGATGGAGATGGAGATACTTACTAATAAATTACAAGAGAGAATGACACAAAGCGCTGACATTTTACATGCTAAATGAAAACATTTGTGGGCTTGGTGGTGGATGCCAATGCTGAGAGGCAATTAATCGCAACACCTTGAGTGGTTGAAGCAGCCAACAGCAATTGTGTGTAGCTTGTAAAAGGTAATGCCAGTTGAGAGCCTGCTAATGGATGCACTGATTGATGCCATCAATTCAGAAGATCTAGCCACAGATAACTGCTGGAATTACAGATATGAAATGAGTTTGAATGACGAATGAAGTTTAAAGTTTTGAAGTTTGAATGAATACAGATACAGATACAGATACAGATACAGATACAGATACAGATACAGATA